GACTGGGAGCTGTATTGCCACTCCTTCACTGTCAGGGGATCAAAATCCTGGAAGTCCTTTTCCAGAACGACTGTGGGTGCATCTACCATTCAGTGTGCCGCCATCCATATTTTCTAAGTGCGTGGGTCCTTTTGATGATTATTTGGGACTGTATGTCCAAGGCTAGCCTCCTCCTGGTCTAATGAGAAGAGTCTCATTGAGTGATCTTGATGTAGATTATTGTGTATCTGAACTATTTATCAGTGATAGGAATAGGCTGTATATTATGACAAAAACCCATCCCGAGGTATGTCTCCCATAAGATCCTACTTTCCTTTCTCACAAGGTCCTTGAAAAACCACCACAGTGAACGGTACTTTTGCACTCAGCTCCAGTATTGACCCTTTTAGGTCCTTCAAGACCCATATACAACAATTACGCCACATGGACGCAGAGGTTCAAGAAAGCAGCTCACTAACACCTTCTCAAGGCTGATTCAGGATAGGCAACAATAGCTGACCTTGCCAGCCATGCCCACAAAATAGTAAAAAAAAATTTTTTTAATTCATTTGTGGGATGTGGGCGTCTCTGGCTGGGCCCAGCATTTCTTGCCCATCCCTAGTTGCCCTAGAGAAGGCGGTGGTGAGCTGCCATCTTGAACCGCTGCAGTCCTCCTGCTGTGGGTTGACCCACACTGCTATTAGGAAGGGAATTCCAGGATTTTGACCCAGTGACAGTGAAGGAACAGCGATATATTTCCACGTCAGGATGGCGAGTGACTTGGAGGGGAACTTGGAGGTGGTGGTATTCCCAGATACAATCCCAAAATACAATAACATCTATATCTCAGAAATACTTCATCAGTCGCAAAGTGTGTTGGTTTTCCTTGAGGTTGTGAAATGTGTTGCGTAAGTACACAATATTTTTTCATCTCTCAAAATGTGTAACTGTGGCCATGCACTCAGCTGTGGTAGGTGTTATTGTAAATGAGATGCACAAAATGTATGAACAATGGCGCAGCAAGAAATATTCTATCCTTGAAGGACACAATGTGAAATTTGGCATAGGACGAGGTTTTAATCCTAGTTCGAGGAACAAGAAAGTGCTACTTTCCAATACGCCTTGGGATCAAAGGGGTCTTGATTAGAAACCTGGCTCTGAAGGAAACTGCACTGTGAGGCTATAAATGAAACCTCCTCAAGCGTTTTACATTGGGAGCACAGCCAGCAAGTCTGGCTGGGTGTCACAGGGCTTAGGATTTGTAAAGAGTGATCTAATGCAATGTTCAGATTAATCTTTCCTCTAGAACAGCTATGACATAGGACTAGCTAAACCAAATAGTGTTGAGTTAAGGTCGGTACTTTGCAGTAACTCATCATGGTTTAATCTACTGTATCACTGGACTGCATTTTCAGGTCTGCCACCATAGGTGGTTGCAAGCTGAGTGCACGGTGCAAGACTCATCCTCCCCTTGTCCAGTCCCTACCCACTTACATCTGCGATTCCTGACACTTTACGTCAGTTTCAGAATTTCCAGTTTGTGGGCTCCAGCTGCCTCCTCTTTACCGTGGATGTGGAAGCCCTTTATATGTCCATCTCCTATCAGGGTGGTCTTAGGGATCTCGGCTACTTCCTGGAATAAAGACCTGAACCATTCCCATCCACCACCAGCTTCCTCTGCCTGGCTGAGCTCATCCTTACCCTGAACGACGTCTCTTTTAACTCCTCTCACTTTCTAGCAATTTCTGTTTTTGTTTCTGACTTCCAGCATCCGCAATTCTTTCGGTTTTCACGCACCATCCTGTTGCCTTTGTGATCATTTGACCCGGATCCTTCGAGCAGATGCCCAGAGTGAATGCCTCAACAGGGCACTGTGAGCTGATCAAAATGCCTCAAGTAGGTGGTCCTGGGATGTCAGGAGGACTCCCGGTGCCATTTTTAGACTCAAGTGGAATGGATGACATATCTTTACTGGTGCAACTGAAGTGATTGGCATGTGTACCTTTCACGTACAATGTGGAAAAGTGCCTTCTCATGCCATTTCTTTTCCATGCCTCTGCCACTTTGGATCCCGTATAGAGCCCTCCATTAAAACTATCCGTGTATTGTACAAAAGAGAGAACAAAGTGTTTAGGAGCTGAGATTGGGTACCAAGGAAAGGTGACCTCAAGGGAAATGAGGGCAGAGTACTATTAAATCAAGAATTTCGGAATCAAGTCAATGTGCAGAATTAATAGTAAACATTTTTCAACTAACATAATTCGGAAGAGTTTCAGAGTGCACATTTACAGGACTATTGTAAATCAGATTCCATCTGCCTGCCATCACTTCTCATATTATTATAAACACACTGCTTTAGAAACATTAATGATGTTAAGTGCACTGGCACAGTGCCAGTCTTCTCTCTGTTTCGAATGTTTGGGTGTTGTGGCTAAAGGTTAGGGCTGGACTGATGAGTAGCTCCCTCAGTCAGCTTCTGATGAAACCTGGCACTGAATTAAGAGGTTTTCAGTGATCGGGCCTCTTCAGTTTGTGCTCATTTATCTGAAATTCAGTCTGGAACATTTCACACCCATCGTAAAGATACCGTTCCTGTTTGACTTTGAGGGTCAGGCACCGTCTTTGGCAGTGCAAAAGTGGGCCTGTTAATTCTGTCAGGGCATAGTAAAGTGAAAGATACAATCTGAAACCTTTACCTGTTCCCAACGTGTTTCAGATTAAAACAAGGCAGCCCAGTGATTTGAAAGACACCCTGTTTCCAAGATTCTGCCGCTTCCTATACTTAAATATCGACTACGAAAAATAGTCTTCAATTATTTGGAAATGCCATGAGGGTGGGAAAAATGGTCAATACAGACAAGTTCCTTCTTCCCCAGCTAATGAGCTATATTAATCATATGGCTCTGTACAGTGCAGAAGCAGGCCATTCAGCCCATCAAGTCCACACCAACTTCCAAACAGCATCCCTGGGACCCTGTAAACCCTGCATTTTCCAATCCACCTAGCCTTCACATCCATGGACACTATGGGCAATTTAGCATGGCCAATCCACCTAACCTGCATATCTTTGGACTGCAGGAGAAAACCTATACAGACACAAGGAGAATTTGTAAACTCCACGCAGTCACCCGAGGCTGGAATCAAACCTGGGACTCTGGCACTGTGAGGCAGCAGTGCTAACCACTGAGCCACCATGATACAGGTTTAAGTAGAAGCTCAGGCGGATTTCAGATGATGTGTTGTGCTCCCTGAGTTTAACTCTGGAGTTTTGTGGATGATGAGGTGAGCAGGAACACACACTGCTGCCCAAATCCCTTTTCAATTGCCTCGTGATTTTCAATTCACTCATGCTTCTGCCTCCCACGGGAGGATACGCGTTTGTGGACAACAGGGAAGAACCGGCTCAGCTTTGGCAGTGATGCCTTTATTGATGTCAGGTAACATGCAGATTGTCACTGTCTTGGATTGAACAGAAAGAGCGGTGCTGGGCTGGAAAGCCAGAGAGAGCTCAGCGAAGCATGTGTCACCACGTGCAAATGATCGCAGGGCAGGGAACTGAAGGAGGGAGAAACAGAAAATAAAACAGTAAGGAGTTAAGCAAGCTGTGGCTCACTCCTTTAACAAAGTGAAGGCTGAGGACTAACCTGACAGAGGTCTGTAAGAAATGATGGATGCAGCAAAGATATTTCCATTTCTAAGGCTTACACAAACTAGGAACTGTAAACGTAAGATGGTACATGTTACAGCTCACTCAGTCAAATTGAGTCGCAGTTGCAACATTCATATTTTACATGCGTCTGGAGCTTTACATAGTGAGAGTAAAGGTTGCAAATTTCTTTCCTCCACTTGGCTTCCACTCTTGCCACCTGCCACTGGTGTGTCTTGTAAGAATTTACAAGGCGATACTCCACCTGTTGGCCATGTTACTAACCCACCTTCCTTGACCAGCAAATCTTGTGTTAGGACTTGAACCTGGAGCTCCTGGCTGAGAGGCAATAACACTCCTGATTGTGCCAAAAAATTCCCTAAACATGAAATTATCACTAATAAATCCAGTAATGGGATAATTGGTGGAATGAGGAACTTGCTAGCACTTAGAGAAATTAAGACATAGTACACACTCCAATGCAGGTTAGGTGCCTTCTCAACCTCTCCCCTCACCTGAGGCATGGTGACCCCTCAGGTTAAACCACCACCAGACGCACCCTCTCTTTCTCTCCTCTCTCTCTCTCTCTACAGGGAGAAAGCAGGAGAATGGGGTTGAAGAACTTATCAGCCACGATTGAATGGCGGAGCAGACTTGGTGGGCCGAATGGCCTAATTTTTGCTCCTATGTCTTATGGTCTTATGGCCTCCCCTCTCTAATAAGAGATTCGCCCTTTGGCTTGGTAGGACTATGGAGGCTTTTACATGGAGGCATTTGGAGGGAACCTAGATCAGGACATGAGGGAGACAGGAATACATGAATATGTTGAAGTAGTGAAAATAAATAGAATGAAAGGAGGAGGCTCATGTGCAGAATAAGCACCAGTAAAGGGCAGGTAGACTGAATGTCCTGTTTCTGAGCTTTAAATTCTATGTAATCAGGAACAATATTCCCTAATGTTCCCCCAGGGTTAAAAATTGCTGGCATTTCCATTTGCTGCTGTGACTGCTCTGTGCTAATATCCTGTGGTTAATTGTTGGAATCAATCTTACTCTGCAGATGTTACAGTGACAGAGAGCTTGTATGTACAGGTAGCATGAAAGCTTAGAGACCAGTGCAGTGTGGACAGTCCTGGTTGGGTTACACACAATGATTAATGACTTCCAGGATATTACTAACCTTCTGACTGTTAATTGGGTCTCGGAGATTCCAGCTCAGTTCACATGGCAGACATTAAACAGCAATCAGCACGCGCCGTGGTTAATGCTCCCTACACCCCACCCAGAACTCCACCCCCCTACAGGGGAAGATCATGTTCGCTTGCTTGCCTGTGCATGCTGCTGCAAAGTGCTGTGTCCAGGTGTGCGTTGCCTACCTTATGGCGATCGGCAGCTGGAATGTTATAATTCTCGGCCCTCAAATTGGAGGCAGCGACAATGAAATCCATGTGGAAGTTTGCATCGTTGTCCTGCAGATTTAATAATTCTCGTTACTGAAAATTAGAAATGGGCTTTTTCATTTGTATTAAAAAAAATAACTTTTTATTTGTTTTGTCAACTATTATCTTTCTCTTTACATAGGAATGTAGTAAATAGGAGCAGGAGTGGGCCATTTGGCCCTTGAGTTGCTGTGCCATCCTATAAGATCATCCAATTCATTCCCTTGTTCCTGCTTTCTCCTTATACCCTTCGATCATTTTAGCCCTAAGAGCTATATATAATTCAAAAGACCCCTTAAGTGAAAGGCCATGTACCATTACTACAAAATCTACCAAACAAAACTTTTCACTCTACCTAGGTCCATGTGACAATAATAAATCAAATCAAATCAAAAATTATGGCTCACAACAGAGAACCTTGAACAATACTGGTTAGCCCCTCCCAGGAACAGTGGATGAAGGTAATATCATTAACCCTTACATATCATATCATCTAACTGCCTTATAAAAGTAAGAACTGCCTTATAAAACACGACCCCATCAGAGGAGTGGGATAGCGAAGAAGGCGTTTGGTATGCTTGTATAAGTTAATGGGTTGACCATAGGAGTTGGGAGGTCATGTTGCAGTAGTACAGGACATTGGTCAGGCCACTTTTGGATTATTGCATGCAGTTTTGGTCTCCCTGCTATATGAAGGATGTTGTGAAACTAGAAACAGTTCAGAAAAGATTTACAGGAATGTTGTCAGGGTTGGAGGGTTTGAGATATAGGGAAAGGCTGAATAGACTGGGGCTATTTTCCCTAGAGCGTTAGAGGCTGAGGGGTGACCTTATCGAGGTTTATAAAAGCATGAGGGGCATGGGTAGGGTAAATAGGCAAGGTCTTTTCCCTGAGGTGGGTAAGTCCAAAACTAGAGGGCATAGGTTTAAGGTGAGGGGTAACTTTTTCATGCAGAGGGTGGTGTGTGTTTGGAATGAGATGCCAGAGGAAGTGGTGGCTGCTGGTGTGATTACAACATTTAAAAGGCATCTGGATGGGTATATGACTAAAAAGGGGTTTAGAGGGATATAGGCCAAATGCTGGCAAATGGTACTAGATTTATTTAGGGTATCTGGTCGGCATGGACGAGTTAGACCGAAGGGTCTGTTTCCATGCTGTACATTCCTATGGCTGTATGATGTTACTGTACATTTGCTGCCCATCCTAGGCAACATGGGGAGTGACAAAGTTGATGACTGAGTACACAGGTACTGAGTAAAGTACCACACTTTATGGCTGTATGAAAGAAAAACAATGATGTTCCTGCTGTTACAAAAAAGAAATGCTAATCTTGCAAACCAGATCTTCCCACACCATTGCCACCATTTCCACACCAACAACACTCACAAAGGTCGCTACCATCCAGCCCTGAGGGGCATCGATAAGGTGATTACCCAAGGTCTTTTTCCAAGGATAGGGGAGTCAAAAACTAGAGGGCAGAGGTTTAAGGTGAGATGGGAACGATTTAAATAGGTCCTGAGGGGTAATTTTTTCACCAGGATATGGAACGAGCTGCCAGAAGAAGTGATAGAGGTGGGTACAATTACAATATTTAAAAGACATTTGGGCAGGTAAATAGATAGGAAAGGTTTAGAGGGATATGGGCCAAATGCGGGCAAATGGGACTAATTCAATTTTGGGAAACCTGGCCAGCATGGAAAAGTTGGGCTGAAGGGCCTGTTTCCTTGCTGCGTGACTCTAAGATGTGACAAAGCAGCCCGCTTGACTGGCACCACATCCACAAACATCCACTCCCTCCATCACCAACGGCAGCCGCAATGTGTATTATTTACAAGATGCACTCAGAAATCCACCGAAGATCCTTAGACAGCACCTTCCAAATTCATGGCCACTTCTAGAAGTACAAGGGCAGCAGATACATGGGAACACCACTGCCACCTGCAAGTTCTACTCCAAGTCACTACACCATCATGACTTGAAAATATATCGCTGATGCTTCACCGTCACAGAAACAAAATCCTGGAATTCCCTCCCCAAGATTTCCTCCCCATTGTGGGTCTATCTAAAGCACAAGGATTGCAGCAGTTCAAGAAGGCATCTCACCGCCAACTTCTCAATGGCATCAAGGGATGGTCAATAAATTCTGGCCCAGCCAGCGACACCTACGCCCCATGAGTGAATAAAGAAAAGCAGAATGTGTGAAAAGTAAATAATTAAATTGAAGATAATAGAGTAAATGTAGGGCTCATCTGATGGGCATTGCTCCATTATTCACCAGCACAAGAAGGAGACTGCATGCTCTAAGAAATCACAATTTGAAGGTATAGCTGACAGGAAGTGCAAGAAACCTCCAGGAAAGCCAAACAGGAAGGTGGAGAAAAACGACAAAATTCCTTTTTAAAATTCTCTGAAGAATCTGTAATTGGTGAGACCAAATATACCTTCTCAAAGTCAATAGGTTGCATCTCACATCCAGTAAAATCCTTATGAGAAGAGAGGAGATTTTTCAATTCCATCAAACGCTCGTCATCTGAAATAGAAAACAATTGAGAAGGTGAGTTCAGAGAAAGTTGATATTACAGAATAAAGGTGATGAGAACTTGGTCCAAATATGTAAATAGAGTCAAGTCACCATAGCCCTACCAGATCATAAGGCTTCTCTCTCAATAGAGAGGGATGACTGGTGGTGGTTTAATCTGAGGGTCACTATGCCTCAGGCGAGGGGAGAGGTTGAGAAAGAACCCTTAAATATAAACCACCATCAGTCTCTCTTTCTAATGGGACAGCAGGCCTCTAAAGTAAATATAACATATTCTTCAAGTGTCACCACAGGCAATGTTTCCATGTACGAAATAAGATTAGCAGTATGAAAACAGTCAGAAATGATCATGCACTTGTGTATTCAAAGGTTTAACAAGATCTTTTGATCTCTGCAATCTGTCTGAGTCAGCTCTTTTATTGCATGCGTTCCTATTTTTGGAAGAGGGTGTCAGAGAAATGTTACAGAGAGCTTTCAATTATAATTGTCGGACTAGAGCTGGCAAATTCAGAACAATTGAGCTTCATTTTGACAACCCACATTTCTGAAATGACAAAGATTTACCCCAAACATTTTCTTTCTAAATATGAAAACGCAAAACACACGAACTGATACAGAAGTTGGAGTGAGCATGCTGACATGAAAGGTGGGCAATTACATTCCCAAGGCCATCACCAGGGTGTGTCTGCTCGACTATTTATACAATTGGCCAGATCACAAGAGGTTGATGGAAGCTTGCAAATTTAAATCTTCAGATCAAATTTACTGCAGAGAATAAAAGAAAAAAATACATAGGGCACTTTGAGGAAAAAGGACTTATTTCCAGTACTCAACTGTTCATAGAATCATAGACTGCAAAAGAGAGCCTGTACTGCCGAAAATACACTATTACCGACACTAGTCCTACTTTCCTGCACTCGACCCATAGCTTCGAATATGACACTTCATGTGCTCCTACAAGTACTTTTTAAAGGTTGTGAGCTTTCTCACCTCAACAACCCTCCCAGGCAGTGCATTCCAGATCTCTGCTGGGTTAAAAGGTTTTTCCTCAAATCCCCCCTAAATTTCCTGCCTTTCACTTCAAAATTATTGCCCCTGTCACTGACCATTCAACTAAGTGGAACAACTGCTTTCTATTCAACTTGACCATGCCCTTTGTAATCTTATATACTTCCATCAAATCCCCCCCAATCTTCCTTGCTCCAAAGAAACAACCTGAGCTTATCCAGTCTCTCTTCATCGCTGAAAAACTCCACCTCAGAGATCATTCCAGAAAATCTCCTCTGCACCCCCTCCAGTGCAATCACATCCTTCCTATTGGGTGGTGACTAGAACTGCACACAGTACTCTAGCTGTGGTCTAACTAAAGTTCTGTACAGCTCCAACATAACCTCTCATGGCTTATAAGTTATGCCTTGACTGATAAAAGCAAGCATCCCGTATGCTTTCTTAACCACCCTACTACAATGTTGATCACCCTGCCACCTTCAGGGATCTGTTGACAAGCACCCCACCTCTGTTTCCCTGAGCTTTCTAATGTTTTGCCACTCATTCAGTACTCCATTGTCTTGTTCCTCCTTCCAGAGTACATCACCTCATATTTATCAGTGTTAAATTCCATCTGCCACTGATCTGCCTATATGACCAATCATTTATATCCTTCTGTAACCTAACACCTTCCTCCTCACTGTCAATCACTCGGCCAATTTTTGTGTCATCCACAAACTAACTTATCAACCCCCAGCAATCTCATCTAAATCATTTATGAATATCACAAACAATATGGGACACAGCACTGATCCCTATGGCACACCACTCACAATGGGCTCCAGTCACACAAACAGCCTTTTACCACCATCCTCTGTCTGTCTTCTGCCTCAAAACTAATTTTGGATCTTGCCAAATTATGAGCTTTTACTTCCTTTATCAGTTTCCCATGCGGGACCTTGTCAAAGGTTTTGCTGAAATCCATATAAACTATATCAACTGCCCTCATCCAAACACTTGGTCACCTTCTCGAAAAATTCTACCAGATTTATTAGGCATAATCGCCCTCTGACAAAGCCATGCTGACTATCCTTGATCAAACCTTGCCTCTCTAAATGGAGATTAATTTTCTCCAATAGATTCCCTTCCACTGACGTTAGCCTGACTGGTCTATAGTTCCCTGGTCTATCTCAACTACAATTCTCGTAAAGTGGAACCACATTAGCTGTACTCCAATCCTCTGGCACCACCCTTGTGATCAGAGATGAGTTAAAAATTTGGGTCAGGGCCCCATAATTTTCGCCCTTGTCTCCCGCAGCAACCCGGGACACAATTCATCCGGACACAGGAATTTGTCCACTTTTCAATCTGCCGAAACCTCCAATATCTCCTTGCTTCTTCTATTAATCTACTCAAGAACAGCACAGTCTACCTTCTCGAATGCTGTACTTGCATCCTCCTGCTCCCGAGTTTAGACTGAGGTGAAGTACTCATTTATCACTCTACCAATATCCTCCAGCATCATGCACAGATTGCCCCCTTGGTCCCTACTCTTTCCTTCCCTCTGATTTACTTGTAGAATATAGAATCCCTACAGTATGGAAGCAGGCCCTTCAGCCCATACCATCCCTCTAAAGAGCCATCCCACCCAGACCCAACTCCCAATCCTATCCCTGTATCCCCACATTTCCCATGGCTAGCCCACCCAGCCTGCATGTCACAGAACGCTATGCGCAATTTAGTACGGCTAATCCACCTAACCTGCACATCTTTGGACTGTGGGAGGAAACCAGAGCACCCAAGGGAAACCCACACAGATGTGGGGAGCATGTGCAAACTGCACACAGATAGTCACCTGAAGGTGGAATTGAACCCTGGCACTTTGAGGCAGAAGTGCTAACCATTGAGCCCAAGCCACCACAATTGCTTGGGATTCTTCCTAATGTTGCTTGCTAGCAATTTTTCATGACCGTTTTTGCTCTCGTAATCACTTTCCTGAGATTCCCCTGCACTTTTTATACTCCTCTAGGGCCTCTGTTATTTGCTCCATTTGTACATGTTACCTGTCTCTCTTTTTCATCCAGTCCTGAATATTCCTGAATACACCTAGGATTCTGTGAGCTTCTTGCTCCTACAGTTCACCATAAAGAGAACAAATTTCCCTATACTTCTCCCAGTAACCTTGAACACCTCCCACTGTTTTGCTGTAGATTTATCCTCAAGTAGCTGCTCCCAGTCTATTTTACTCACCACTACTCAGTGCCATGAATCTCCCTGCCTATAATGACTGAGTAGGATAGGCTGACGTTCTCAGGAAGTTAGAAGAGTGAGGTGTGCTGTTCTTGAGGGGGGTAAAATTCTTAGAGAGTTTGGCGAGGGAGGTGCAGGGACACTGGGTTGAATTTAACAGACTTCTCTGTGGTGAGCTTGGTGGCGGTGGAGCATTTAAACAGGCAGGAGAAAGCAGGGAGAAGGCCTACCATCTTCCCATCTGTGAGACAGAGAGACCCATGGGCAGCTCCCTTCCTCAAACCCCCATCCACTGGCCCACTGAGCCACTGAAGTGGGAAATTAATGGCCACATCAGGGCCCCATTTTGCCATAACTGCACTCACTCTTTTTCACACAGACAGTGGTTCCTGTGTGGAATGAGCTGCCAGAGGAGGTGGTAGATGCAGGTGCAGTTACAACATTTAAAAGACATTTGAAGGTACATGAGTAGCAAAGGTTTCGAAGGAAACGGGCTAAACACAGGCAAACGGGACTGGTTTAGTTTGGGAAATTTGTTCGGCATGGATGAGTTGGACTGAAGTGGTGTATGGCTCAATGACGCTCCTCCCCTCACTAGATCTCACCCCATCATCTGTCGTTTGTGGCCTGGATTCCTCAGTGTGTGTATTTCCAACAATTCCTATCACTGTCTCATTGGCATTGCTGAGTGATGTAAAGCTTCCCACCTCTGACTGACCAGCAGCTGGTGGGACTCCATTCCTGGTGCCATTTAACCTTTTTATGATACATTTATACATTGTACTTCTCCCTTACTCAATGTACAAAAGAGCAGGACTTGCAACGGTGACCGTCTGGTTAGTGACAGAGGAGAACAGGAAGATACTATGGACAAACCCACCTGCAGAATTGGCAGCTGCCTCCATCTCTGCGTCATTAGTGTGGATGGTGACCCCTGACTTTGGGGTGAATGGAGGAACATCGACAGATAGCAGTATCTGCTGGACTGTAGCTCTGTCCTGAGAACTCACCATGCAATAACTCTGCGCGTACAGGTTAGCTGCTGCTATGATATAATCCATGTGGACGTGCTGTTAATACAAGGGAAACAAATTCAGTCAATGCACCAATGCAGTACCATAAAAAGTCATCCCAGCATGGGAAAGTAACTGAAACAGAGGTTCAACAGTCAAAAATGCATTCTTGCACATGTTTACACGTGTACACGCTTATGGTTACAGCATATGGAATCTCAGGTATGTAGCCAACACCAAGCTCATAGCCAGAACAAAAGAAAAGAGAAAGCTGGCTTAGTCAAAACACACAGTGAGTCCTTTGGACTGAATAAAATGAGACAAAGACGAATATTACGGCTTTAAATGGCAACAGAAAAGTCAAGATTAGAAGCATGAGATACAGGGACAGGGAGTCCTCACTCTAAGTCTCCCCTTTAAAAGTTTTTATATCTAAAAGCTCCTCATTTGAAGTGAGACTCCCATTCTTGTGCCTCATGCGTCATTACATCGCTAGTGAGGGCCCCTAATTGTGCTGCTAAAGTTAGTGTCATCGTCTCTGCGTTCTGCAGTCGATGATTATTGTGTTTTGTTTTAAAACAGTTCACTGCTTAGGTACTGAGGTCAAGTTCTTTTTCATTGTTTAAGAATAAGGGGTAAGCCATTCAGGGCTGAGATGAGGAAGAATTTCTTCACTCAGAGAGTTGTGAACCTGCGGAATTCTCTCCCACAGGAAGCTGTTAGGGTCAGTTTGTTAGATATATTGAAGAGGGAGTGGGACGTGGCCCTTGTGGCTAAAGGGATCAAGGAGTATGGAGAGAAAGCAAGAGTGGGATACTGAAATGGCATGATCAGCCATGATTGTATTGAATGGCAGTGCAAGCTCGAAGGGCTGAATGGCCTACTCTGGCACCTATTTTCGATGTTTCACATTTCTCTGCCTTTCCACCTCTGCTGGCAGAGGAATTCCTCCAGACTTTCCAAAAAATAATAATTCTCTGCTATATATTCTCTATTGTACTTTATCTCTGCAGCTAGAATACCTGAGAAACTTCTGCTACATATGTACTTTTTTTGTAACTTTATTTAAAGACTTGTCTACAAGCTACAAGTCTGCTTTCTTCACCAAAGAATGCACAGTGTTGCACACATATGTGATGGTTTTTCAACTCTTACAGTAGCTTTTCTGGAAAAATTGTCCTCAGGAACCCTACTCTACCTTTAACATTGATCCCTTGGGGAAAATACTTTATATGGGGAGGTAATGGCCTAGTAGTCTTGTCACTAGACTAGTAATGTGGAGGTTCTTGGCTTTGCATGGCAGATAGTGGAATTTAAATTCAATTTTATAAAATCTGGAATTAAAAACCAAGAGATAACATTGTCAGTTGTCATTTAAACTGTTCTGGTTCCCAATGTCGTTTAGAGAAGAATGTGTCTTTAATTGGTCTGGCCTACATGTGACTCCAGACGCACAGCAGTGTGAACGACTTTTAACTGCCCTCTGAAATGGTCTCGCTGGTCACTCACTTCAAGGGTAAATAGGGATGGGCAACAACTGCTGGCCTTAAATGATGCCAATATCCCTTGAAAGAATAAAAAAGTCTATAAGACACAGGAACAGGAGTAGGTCCTTCGATCCCTCAAGCCAGTTCCACAATTCAATAGGATCATGGCTGATCCGACATTCCTCAAGATCACATTCCTGCCTTTTCCCTGTAACCTTTGATTCCCCTCCTGATGAAGAATCTATCTGTCTCAGCCTCAAATATACACAAGGACTCTGCCACACAGATTTCTGTGGCAAAGCATTTCAAAGATTCATAACCCTCCTCATCTCAGTCTTAAATTGGCTGCTCTCTGGGCCTGGGCTCTCCCATGAAGGGAAACATCCTCTCAGCATTTATCCCATCAAGCTACTTCAGAATCCCAAGAGATATCTGCAAAGGGTCTGAGCCCATGGGACTACAGGAAGGGCATCACAATTAAAATCCAAGGCTGTGGAGAGAATATTTTCCAAGTTAAATCTTTGCCCTTCTACAATTAGGTTTTACATCTAATCGTTGCAAAGCAGCTGTAGATTTCCACCTAGAATGAGGTTTCACCTGGTTAGCCCCGAAACCTAAATCCGGATTTTTTTGTTTCACACAGACATATGTGAATTAATAAATGGACAACAAACATTGTAATCATGTTCTATCTCTATAAACATTGTACAATAGGCACTGCCCCTTGCTAGTGAGATCCTACTGAAATTTCAGGCTGGGCTCCAATATTCAAGTGCCTTTGTGGGTGCACACACTGATATTGGCACCTCTTGGGCAATCAATTGATGAGGTGGTGCCACAGTACAATAAAATGAAACCCGCATTGCATGGATCATGTATCTGCATCCTTTACCTGGCTTCTACCACTCATCTACAGTTGCGAGGGGTTGCTTCATTGTTGGCAATGATATCTTTTGGATGAGACCTTAAACTAACGCCCCAGACCCAGACTGATGCAGAAGATCCTTGCACTGTGCTTCAAAGGAGAAGAAGGTATTTCCCTCCCATGCCCAGGCTGATATTTATCCTTCGATCAACATTACAACACAGTTGTAACCTGAACTTGGACCATGTTTGTGTGCCCCACTTTGGTTCCTGCAGCCGAAAGGGCAATACCATTTCTTGGTGGAATCTGGAACTTTCAAGATCGAGGTTGAGGGAGCAATGGGAAATCCGGTGGTTGATCCCAGCCCTGTTGGCTTCGCACTCCTTTGATACCAGGACTTAAAGGATCCACTCCTGTTCCACTGGAATCTTCTGCAGCTGTGTGAATAGCTCAATGTTGGCTGAAAGAAGGACTCTCGAATATGACACCACCAACTCTGTCCTGACTTGAGGGACCAAGGGTGTGCTGATGATAAAGTCACCATAGCTCCAGACAGGTTAGGGCCGCTGTTTTATTGGAGAGAGATGACTGATGATGCATTTAACCTGATAGTCACCACACCTCAGGCGTGTGAGATTGAGAGGGTAGGACTTTCATGGTGGCCTCAGCTGGCACAGGAATCAAACTCACTCTGTTGGCATCACTAACCAGCCATCCAGCCAACTGAGCTAACCAACCCCATTGCTGGTGATAGCCCTCCCAGTGAAACACAGAAGTGCAAACCATTGTCTGTTGGGACCCCTGACCCCTCCTGTGCGAATAAGGAACAGTTTAACATAGAACTATGCAGCTACATAACGCCAAACATGATGAACAGGAACGCTTATGGTGTGTAAGAGGTATCTTTGTTGCACTGTCTTTAAAAAGTGAGGTTTGTTCTTTCTGTATGAAGTATAATTTCCCTGTTAATTCATGTCTAATTTGCATTGGTTCCATGTTGTGATAAAGTATTAGCCACTTGGCAAATCTGATCATTTTGGCTTAGGGCTCCCCAGAGGGAACTGTGATTGGGAGGATTGAGGAGTAGACCAGGGTATTGCTGGGGAAGGATCCTTTCAGGATGCTGAAAGGGCAGAGAAAGGTAGGTTTTATCACTCTGGAAAGGGTAGAAGTGATGGTGCAGTCTTGGGTGACCTAATCTTCTTGAATCCCACACCTGCCACTGACGGAGCAAACAAATTTGGTTAGACCACTGATTGCCGCAAGGTTGCAGCCACATTCTGTGTAATCTAACTACTTGGAGTTTGTCCGATTCTTGCCTCTTGTGACATCTCCCATTTTAATTACTTCGTCTTTGGCAGCCATAGCTTCAGTTGCCTATGTCCTGCATTCTGGGACTCCACCGTCTTTTCCTCTCCAACTCTTCTCTTTACTTTTATGATGTTCCTCAAAACCTACTTTTTGACAAAGCTTTGTGACACCTGCCTTTTATCTCCATGGGTAGTTTTGATGTAAAATTGTGTTTGAGAACGTTCCTCCTCCATTAAAGATGCTATATAAATGCAAGCTGTTGTCATTGGATTAGCAGGGAAGAACAGAAGTCAGAATTAACAAGGCATGAACAATGCCAATGAGTCATGCTGAGGCAGACCTGCTGCTTTGATGTTCTGACGGCTAAGGCTAAATGGATTCTCTTGGGACCCTGTCCAATGTCTCCAACACACTTACGATGTAAACACGAGATACAATTCCAAACAAAACTGTACAAAGCACTGAGTAGTGTTCAAGTTGGTCATTTAAAGGTCGCCCTTGGGGCGTTGGAGAGATTGTACCTGGTGTACTCGACAGAGTTATAGTCCCCTAACTAATGTCCTTGACTGGGATTTCTGGGATTGAAGAGACTGTCTTATGAGGAAGGTTCGAGCAGGCTAAGGGCGGCACGGTGCCTAAGTGGTTAAAGCACCAGGGTTTGATTCCAGCCTCGGGCGACTGTAGGAGTTTGCATGTTCTCCCCATGTCTGTGTGGGTTTTCTCTGGGTGCTCCCGTTTCCTCTCACAGCCCAAAAATGTGCAGTTTAGGTGGATTGGCCATGCTAAGTTGCCCATAGTGTCCAGGGATGTGCAGGCTAGGTGGGTTAGCCATGAAGAATGCAGGGTTACAGAGATAGGGTAGGGGGTTGGCTCTGGGTGGAATGCTCTTTGGTGGAGCAGTACGGACTAGGTGGGCTGAATGATCTGCTTCCACAGTGTAGGGATTTTATGATTCTATGACTGGGTTGGGCCTGTATTCATTGGAGCTTAGAAAAATGAGAGGTGAGCTGATTCAGATAGACTAGGATTCTGAGGGAGCTTGACAGAATAGATGCTGGGAAGATATTTCCCCTCATCAGGGGGAATCCAGATCCTGGGGGAGCAGGTTAACCATAAGGTGTTGCCTGTTTTAGACAGAGATGAAGGAGAAATTTCTTCTCTCAGAGGATCATTAGTCTAATAAATAAGGGTCATAATAATTAGGCCAACAGCAGATCTAATAGAGGTTTTCAAAATCATGAGAACCTGGATGTGGATAACGGTTCCTGCTCTTAAATGGGATTAGAATAGTTAGGTGTTTAGTTTTGACTGGCACAGATTTGATGGGCTGAAGGGCCTTTTTTGCACTGTAACAATTCAACAATTGATTCTATGGAAGTCTCCTCCCTAGAGAG